TATATATATATAAATATATTAAATATATAAAAGATAATAAATTTATATATAAATATATAATATATATATATTTATTAGATAAAAGTATTAAATTAGCTAATCTTTATATAAAAATTTAGTAATATAAACAAATTTCAAATAATAATTATAAGTTTAATATATATTCAAATATATTAATTTTTTGTTCTGTAATTTATCAATACTTTAGTAATTACTTATAATTTTTAAAATATTATTAAATTAAGAATTAACTAATTTTGAATAAGATAGAATTATTGATTACTAAAAGTATAAGAAAATTACTTATAAGATTATGAAAGTTCTTGATTATATTCAAGTATAGAATTTTTAAGCTATTAATATATTTTGAAAAGAATAATAAGTAATTATTAAATTTTAAAATAATTAATCAAAAGTTTTGATAAAGTGTAATTTTTAATAATTATTAAAAAAAAATAGTAAAAAATAAATAAAATATATTAAATAAGCTCACTTAATTAATTAATAAGATATTGATTATATTAGTTAGTTCAAAAATAATTAGTTATTATTTCTATAATTAAATTTTTATAGTCTTATTAGTATAAGAAAATCTTTTATTTCTGAAATAAATCAGAAAAAATATTTTGAATAATATAAAGAAAGATAAAATTAAGTTACTAAATTTAAAATAATTATTTAAAATAATAAATCTTATTTTTATTTATTTTAAAATAATATTTATAAAACAGTTTGATATTAGTCAAAAGAAAAATATATTATTAATTATCTTATTTCAATTATTAAATATAAAGAAGATGGTATTATAATAATAAAATTATTTTATTAATAATAAATCTGGATCTTTAATTGTAATTGAAAGAAAAATAAATAATATTAACTATATAAAATTACTTAGAAATAGTTTTTTATTATTCTTGAATAAATTAAAGCTGAATTTATATATTTTTCAGGATAATAATTGTCTAATTTATTAATCAAGACTAGTATATTAGTAGGAAGAAGAAAATTTAATTACTTTACTTTTATAATCTGCTTAAAGATCAAATCTTAATTCAATTAAGCATATTTGGAATTATTTAGAAAGAATAGTTTATAAAAAATAATTTTAATTCAAAAATAAATAGGAATTATTTATAATTTTAAAGAAAGAATGAGTAAATATAGATACTAGTTATTTAGAAAAATTAGTAAAAAATATAATATAAAGAGTTAGATTGTAATTAAAAGTAAAGATAATTTAATATAATATTAAGATTATTAATAAAAAATTTATAATTTTCTGATTTAAATAATATAAAATTCATATAATATATATTAGTATATTCTTATTTTATTATAATAAAGATATTAATATTTTTATTATTTTATGTAATATTAATATTTGATTTGATATTTTTATTTAGTAAGTATATATATAATTTTAGCCTATTTTATTATTCTTATAATTATTCTATTATATAATATAAATTATTAAGAAGTTTATATAGAATTTCAAGATAATATCAAAATAATTAATTAAAATTTATATAAAAAACTAAGTCAAAAATAAAAAGAATATTATTATTAAAACTTAAAACTTTATTATAATTATAAATATTAAAAATATAGAATAGAAATAGTATCTTTAAATAAATAATTTAGAGTTATATAAATTAATAATAATTTATAATATATAAGTATTTATATAATATTATTTCTAATAGATATTATTAATATATAAATATACTAATAAAATATTATAAATAATAAATAAAAAAAGATAATATATTAGTAAAATAAGAAATAAAAAAAATTTTACTAAGAATATCTTTTAAAACTAAAATAATTTAAGTAAATTTATAATTTATCTTGATATAATTAGATAATTATAATATAGTAAATTATATATAATATAATATTTTAATATAATATAATTTACAAACTAATCTAATTAAATTAATTACAAAATTATTTTAATTATAAAGTTAATATAAAAATTTTTATTAATTAAATTTTATTTTTAATTAATAAAAAATTTTATATTAACTTTAAAATTATAATAATTTTAGAAAAAATTTAAAAATCCAAAAAAAATATATATTAAATTAAAATTTTATTTTGATATAAAAATAAAAAGTTTTTCTTTATAAAAGTATAAAGCTTAATATAAAAGAAATTTTAATTTTTATTATATTTACTAATAAAATTAATATTTTAATTTTATAATTATAAAAATATTATATATTTAATAAATATTAATTCTTTTTTAATTAATTACTTTATTTATTATAAATATTTTAATTAATTTTATTATTTGATAATATTATTTTTTATTTTGTATTTCTTAATAAATAAATTTATTTATTAATATTTTTATATTTTTTAAGATATAATACTTATTTATTTATTAATTATAAAGTTTTATATAATTATATTAATTAATTTTTATTAATAAATTTTATATAATTTTAATTCAAAAAAAATATTTTATTAATTAAAAGTTTTATTCTAATAATAAAAAGGTTTATATTTAAAAATTTATAATATAAAATTTTTTTATTTATATTTTAAATAAAATTTTTATTATTAAATAATAGTTAAAATTTTGTTAATTTTGAAATATAATATAATAAAAGAATTTTTACTTAAAAATTTAATAATATAATAAAAGTTATTAAATATTTAAATTATAAATAATTTATTTATCTTATAAATTAAGAAATAATAATAATTAATCTTATATTTTTATTAAATTATAATTATATTATTATTAAAGTAAACTTAAATTTTTTTAAGTTATATAATAATGATTAAAAATAATAGATTAGAATTATATTTAATAATAAAATATAATAAAAATTGAAATTTTCTCTTTAAATTAAAATTTATAATTTTATTAATAAATATTTTTTATTTATATATTAAAATAAAGTTTATAATTTATAATTTATATATTTTTTTCAGATTTCTGAAAGAATAATTCTAATTATAAAGTTATTATAAAATTTTTCTAATTAAATAAAATTTAGCTAGAAAAATTTTTGCAATAACTTTGCAATTAGAATAAATCTTTTAGAAGAATCTAAAAAATATATATTAAACTATTAGATTATTTATTAATAAGTTTAATTAAATATAAGATGTCCAGCAAGTATAGCAGATTCTATTTAATACTAAAGTGGATTCATTAGTTCTTTATGTCTATTCTTTTTATAAGACATTAATCTGTTAATGAAAATAATCGTGTAAACATTCCTTTAAAAAATTCCATTAATATTCTTGTAGATCCTAAAATGGCAATAATAATATATATTTTTTAACTTTCTATTAGTTTTAAAATGAGTATAGGGACAAGATGCATTTAATCAATGCTAGAGGCACTGGAATATTTTTCGTAAAACTTTTTATGTTTCGCTTCTTAACAAGTTACAAATTTTCGTATACTCATCTCATTTCGAGTAATTTATTTCAGGACGCATAATTCGACGTCTGATTGTTGAATTTGAGCCAATAATGACATTAGATTCGCCTCGATAAAATGAATTTGAATGGTTATTATTTTTGCTTAAATTAAACAATCGGATATCGAGTTATTGTGTCCCGAAATAATGCATGAAATGTGAGAGGTACACGAAATTTATAGGTTCACTTATGATAGGTAAATGCTTGTAATTTTGATTGCGTACCTTTAGGGAAGTATCGAAAAAGTCTGATATTTCTGTGTCACTTTTTCATATTTTACGTGCGTAAGTTACGTATCGATCTGTAAAAAAGTCATCCATTTTTTTTTGAAACCGCAATTTCTAAAATAAACCAACATTTAGTTGTGACATTTTACGCAAACCAGATTGAATAAACACTTTTTTAAATTTATTTTTAGATAAATTTGGATTTTACGGTTCTGACAGAAATAATTGGGGAGGTGATCTTTTAATTGATATTAAAAATCACAGAAAATTTTATTAACTCCACCCTCTAATAACACTTATAAAATTTTTATCTATAAATGCACACCTCTCTAAATGCACAATTGTATCTGGTTCCAAGGGTGTGCACTTAGAGTAGTGTGACTGTACCTGTTTCCTAAGACATTTTCACAAAAATTTCAAAAAAAATATAGAAACCTGTTAACTAAGAGAGTTGTACATTAATAATTATAGTTATTTCAAAGTATTATCTAAAAATATTATATGCAACTTAAGATATAAAAATAGAAATTTTTAAAAATAAAAATTATTAATTAAATTTTTAAATTAAATTATATGTAAAATAATTTTATTTTATCTGCCATTACTTTCTGCCAGAACTGTATAACTCATATTCAAATAGCGCGTGTTCACAATGGAATTGAAACATGGTAAGAAAAACTAATTTTAAGGTTATTAATGAACATCGGAAGCATATGTAGTTGTGGACTTTTTGTTTAGGAATTGAAATTTCAAACACATGTTTCTGCATATATTAATGTAAAATAATATCGATACCATAATACATGCGCATATAAATGTACATTAACGTTAACGGGGTACATATATTCAATGAATAAATATAGTTAATACAATTGTACACGTGTACATAAGTAGTACATGTTATCTAACAAATACACAGAGCAGATTACATGTATTTATAAATGTACAACTTTTTAATTAATGATAGAAAATGGGTGGTTGTTGTTCTAGACGCATTATTGAGCAAGACGACAACAAATTTCGTTATATTGATGGCAGACGGTACCATAATATTTCTGATTCAGAATATATGATACCCAATGATGACGAAGAGGCTTATCGTTTAATGCGGTATCATGAAGGTACATGTAGTTAGATTTGGTTTGAATAAACGAATAAATTGTAATTTTTAAATTGATTATATTTTGTTTCTTGTGTCATAAGCGATAAAAGATATTTGGGGAGGATTATTTAATTCACCTATTGAAGAAAAGTTGAGACAAGGAGCTCGAGTAATTGATATAGGGTAAATAATAATTTCTTATATTCGTTATAATACTTTAGTCCCTTATATATTTACTTATCAATAAATTCTAGATGCGGTACTGGAACTTGGATTTTGGTAAATATAATCTATCTTTTAAATAGAAACTTTATTTGTAAGCTTAATTTTTCATTATGATAAAACATAGGATATGGCAAAACAATATCCTAAATCACATTTTATAGGGGTAGATTTATCACCAATATTTCCATCAGAAGGTTTTCCTGTTAATGTAAATTTCATCGAGTACAATCTCCTAGATGGGCTTCCATTTGAAGATTTACATTTCGACTTTGTCCATCAAAAATTTCTTATTTCAGCTTTCACAGAATCACAATGGAAAGAGAAAGTTATCCCTGAATTAATAAGAATAACTCAAGCAGATGGTTGGATAGAGCTTTTAGAAGCAGATTCTGGTTTTGTTTCCAAAATGAGCACTACTAAACGAATTTGCGATGCTTGTAATTATAGATACTTTAAAGATTTCTATATTTATGAGTTTAAAATTAACTTATAGATTTGATTTTCTTTAGTTAAAACTGTCTTGACATCAAAAGGAATAAACATAAAGATTGGCGAAATTCTCCCGAGCTTGTTAGAAAGCACAAATGCGTTTTCAGAAGTAAGATACCAAAAAAAATCTATCCTTTTAGGCAAACGTGGTGGACAAAATGGAGAGGAGGTAAATTCTAAACAGGGTATACATGTATACTTCTATATCAACACAATTTAATTTAAATCTTTTTTACACACAGACATTTAAGTTCGTTTCAAGTGCTCTCAAACCAACCAGAGGTTGGTTACCTGCTATGATTGACATAATGCCTGAACATTTTGATGCACTTTTGGAAATCTTTACCATTGAGGTAGAACAAAATGATACTTTTCTTAATCAGCATCGCATTTGTGGACATAAGCATAACGATAACATTTAGTTTTGATATTACTTCGCAAATTTATTTAATGAACTTTGTGAACTACTGATGTATTAATTAAATATATAAGATATGCTATACTATTTTGATACTAAGACGTAAATGTGTAAAACTTATGTCAAATAGTGATAACACTTTATATTCTTCTCTTCATTTTTAAATGAATAAAAATTGGGTGGGATAACATTGTTAACGAATGAATCAGTATCAATTAAAAATAGTTTCTACTTTTTAGTAATGAAATACCTGCAAACATATTTTCGCCGTGCTTAAACGAATCAAAAATATATTCAAGAATTAAGGCACACAAGTTTAATTGGATAACCGGTACACCTGTACCTGTCATACGTACTTTTTCAATATTACATGTACGTGTATATGCAAATCACGTTGCTGCTAATTTTTTTTTAACTATTGTAGCACTTCAATTCTAAATTCTCAATATTATATGTACAATAGAATATAAGTGTAATGTAATATATAAATTCGCTGTTGTGTTTGATGACAATTACTGACTGGCTACTACACATCTACATGTGCAATTATATATGCGCACATATGCTGAATGCATCGAAGTATTATCTCGAGTCATAAGATGCAAACTTTTTTATTTAACTATAGGATAACCATAACTCTCATTATCTGTATTAAAGTTATATCAAGTGCAAGTAATATCGTCTTATCAATTCACATTGGCACAATAAAACAAATAACTTATTCTGTATAGTAAAAAAGGTATGGTACTTCATAGAAACAATATCTTAATCTTATGCTAAAAAGATCTTTATGAGATCTTGATTAGGTTTATATAACTATTCTAATTTATCACATCTAATCAACTTATAAATTTAATCTGCAGAAATTACATGTGCATGCTAAAGGTAAGGTCAATTCGGAATAAATGAAATTCATCAATGTGTGACACGAGATAATGGTTAAATAAGATTGCTAAAGTCAATACGACAAAAGATAAAATACGAGATAAAAAACTTGACATAAATTAGAAAACTATAAAAGGCACAAGAACAGAATCAAAGGCGATTTTGTTTAAACAAAAGTAATCCGGTAGATGCTAAGCAATTGAGAGAGGACGGAATATATTGAAAAACGAAATATAAAATCAGCGTGTTGTATTCTAGATATAAATGTTCCAAATTGAAATAAAATTACGTGTATTATATCAACCAAAGGGAATTTCACCATTACTCTCGAGGTGTATTAATTGTTACGCATGGACACAATTTACGTAAATCCTTTCTCAAGCTATGATTGCAGCAATGTATGGTACTTTCATAGTGTGATAAGGTAAATTTATTTGGTAAAATTCTCGTAAATGCTGAAGATGCCAACGTATTTCTTAATACATTGTTTATAGAAGGAAGTTGAAGAGATTGGCCTTGAGATTTTTCGATCCTTAGATCAGAACTATTTGTATTATGTGCACACGGGTTTCCAGTTATCATATGCACATTATGCATCCGTAATAATCGATGTCGAAATTTTCCATTGCTTGTAAATCCTTTCCTTTTGCGTAACGCATAAACGGATGTTTTTCTGTGAGTCACTTTTTCCCGGCTTGTTAAAGTTGGCAGCCAAAGAAGTGGTAATGGAGGTCCAAGGAAAGATGAGCTAACATCATCCTCCGATGTCAACGAGTCCGTGACAGCGAAGTTAATATGTCGAAATGGACATCGATTTGAGGACGACTTTTTTGCAATCTGTAAATCACCAATTAATTTGACGAGGTTTTTACAGATTCGGCAGACAGCCGAAGCTTCGCCGGATCGATTGCGAACACGTGTTTTTTCCGACAGTATATTGCGCATAATCTCTAAAGGATTTTCGGCCTTTGCTAACTGAGCACCGAAATCAAATAATATGCCGGCATCTGAATTATACGATGGATTTGAATACGATAAAGACACGCTAGACTGTTGGATGCGATTGATTTCACGAATTACGATTCCGTTGATCTCTGAATCTTTGATGCCATCTTTGACAAAATATTTAAGTTGAATTCGATATAGGATTCTGGCACATGTTAAAATAAAAGGATAATCATTTCGATCCTTAGGTATTTGACTAATATCTATGAGCCCGTTAGTCTCATGTTTCGTAAGCCTGCCAGCTGACCTTGACATTTCTGAGAAATGTAAATATAAATATATAATGAATTATGCTTGATCAAGGAAATCAATAAGATTTCTGTGTTCTCGAGAACTGTGTGATTCCTTGATGAAGAGAAATTTTTTACAAACACCACTCCTTTATATATATTTGATGCATTTATTAGTAATGTATTTAATTCTTTATTTTTTCCATTAATATAGTCTTCATGCATTTTTAGCACTTTTAATTTATTGGAATTTGTGTAAATACAAATAAAATGCATAACAAGGTCATTCCTTCCATCTCTATAAGAACATGGCAGGGACACAAAGAAAACTTTGTTCTTATAAATTTATAATTATGCTTTTATAGAGAAAAATTTAAATACACTTGTAAAAATTATTTTCAAAACAAATTTATTATAAAGCAATTTGTTTCTTTTATGGTGTTATAGAGAGGTGCGACTGTAGCTTGCTTAACAAGTGAGATTAAAGTTTTATATCGCTACTTACATTCGCTTAATCTAGTGTTATGTTTTCTCTGAGAATATATCGTCGCAATTGGTTATTTATTATATACCTCGAAATTACCTCAAAGATAAATAGTCAACTCGCTTTGCAAAAAAGACTTGATTACTCAGAAACTCTTGTATTTTTTAGGTTTTTATAGCAATATCTACCTTGAAATGGTTCGTTATTGTATTTAAGTCAAAAGAACAAAATAAAGTCGATAATATTGTATTTTTAAAAAGAATATCATTAGAGGCAAATTAATGAATTGTGCTCCAAATATAAACAATGCATGCGTTGTTATTACAAAAGTGCCCCCGTGTTCTATTGTTTCCACGTTATATTACGCGGGTGCCCTTACTCAAAACTTCTTGGTAATTAATATAATTCAATTCTAGTGAAAATTGAGTTTCCAATAAATTTTCTGAATGATGTCATGCAACAAAATTTTGATTCATGAACCTGCTTTTTTCGTCCTGGCCCTGGAATTTCTGGACCAGTCTGGACCGGTCTGGATATAGTTACTGTGGGAATAATTAAGGAAACTTCAATGAATTTTACTATTGCATACACTCAGTGAACGAAAATTTGTAATCGGGAAATGATTTATAACACTTTCGATTCCAAACTTTTTATAAATTAGGTAATAATATTGATAAAGAGATTATCGTTATTAATAAAATTATATATATATAACTAATTTTTATTAGACGTGAAGTGGCTGTTCTCAGCCAGTAAGAATGCATAAATTTTGGATCACGACACGGATTTCAATATCCCTATGGACCAGTCGAAAAATCATAAATGTTGGACTGACTATGAATTGGGATTGGTACATCCAAGTAATTTTTCAAGTACAAATTTATGTTATATGCATAATACATTATATATTATTTTAACGGTTGTTTTAAGTTTTGTAAAAATATCACATAAAAGTCAGATCCCCGGTCCGTTACCCATTTTTTTAATAATGATGCATTAGGCCATAGATAGTAATTGGTAACACGATGCGTTGTAAAGTTAGTATTATATATTTATATATATATATACATGTATATTATAAAATTAAATTTATATAAGCGAAAATCCTCACTTTTTATGTGCTTTATAAAATAATTCTTGGGGTCTTGTGATTTCTAACTTTTATAGAAGTCACCATTTATCGTTATGTTAAACATATCAGTTATAAAATTTGGTCCATCATTATGAAAAAATTTAGAATTTGTCTGTAATTGACCTTTAAGCCTTTATAAAATTTTCTTGGACCTATAAAATATTTAACGTTAACAATTTGAATTGATTTTTTTGCATCAACAAAATTAATACAAAAATTTTAGTTTAAAAAAGTAAGCAAATGGAGAGATATGGTTACGTATCCATTTCTGTTAAAAACCAGAAAGTGGGTAATTCATCTCCCGAAACTACGTTTTTAATGTAATACATGTATTTACAATCTTTGTATATTTTTCGTGCTTTTAGTTTATGTTATTGATGGTTAAATACGGTATTTAACCCATACTTTTTCTTTTACCGTTACTTATCCAGTTATACTAAAGAGATATTTATGCAGGGATAAACATGAATTACATTTAACGTTAAGAACAAACGATTTGCGGTAAGATTAAGTGTTTAGGGAAAGATACGGTACGTAAATGGATGAACACATGTTGTATCTAAGGAATAAAAATTATAGTTCTATCACAATGTGCGCAACAAAATGACAGTATCCATTTAAATTCGGGGATACTCCATAAGAGTTTTATTACCGATTTTTCATGGGTCCAATATCAAAATATGTGTTGTAATGCAGAATAATAAATGTATTATGTTAAATTACTGTTTATTCATTAAAGTGTATTAGATAAGAGAAAAATATCTCTTGAACAATCAAAATATTGAAAATTTTTCAGTCAAATACCCAATTTTAACAAACTAGCAGTAAACAACAGGGCTTTATAATTAATAATCTTCTGAGTCTCGAGATCTTATCTTGAATTCGAATCGAAAAAGATTATTTATTTAAAATACTTAATTTGCTGTAAAATTTAAATTAAGAACGTATTAATTTGCAGTGGATTACTCCGTTTCTTTTTCGATTAATAGAATAAGTTATATCATTATAATCTCGCAAAATTAAATTAGTAAGATAAAGCAATTCTTTTTTTTGTTTAAATAGAATATATCTAAGCGAACGACTAATATTCATTAATTTTTAAATAAAATAATTATCCAATAAAGAAATAAAAATAAATTCTTTATTAAAAATCTTATTGGTTTTAAAAACAAATCATCTATCATGGATATTCAGTATTCCCATAACTTGAAATAAATTAATAGAGCAATAATTAAGTGCATATATAGTGTCCTACCTCTCTTTATACCTTCTATTTTTATCCAGTTCTTAAATGATACATTTAGAAAATCTTAATGATTTTTTTTGATAAAAATCTGAGTGCGTTGGATTATTGTATAACACAATCAATCTCTCTATAAGAACCGGATTTTGAGACCCATTGGATTAATTAATATATACTGTATATATACATCAAAAAGTTACCTCTTTATAAGAACAACCTATCTATGAGAACCAGATTTCATGTATAAATATATAACGTATTAAGTTAACTAATTACATATATTATATTAAACATGCTTTCCTAATTCTTATTGTTTTATCCATTTC